AATACTTTTGTTAGTCTTAAAGGTGCCACAGGACCCTCTGTTGCTTTAAGCCGTAAAAGTTTCACTAGTGGATGCAAAGGCTTGTTTCTCACACAGGAGCAAGTCAAGGTGGTCGGCCATGTTTCTAATGGCTTCCAGGTGATCCTGACTCTGTTGCTCGGGTCCAAAACTCTTAAGTGATTGCACTGAAGGACAATTCTGTTTAGTAATAGCTCTCATCCTGAAATGGCATGAAGAGTATGTCAGCAAAGTGTCTGTAATACATTGTTTAGATGAGGATTCTTCATCCTTAAGATAACAATGTAGGATATAACATCAGTGTGTTGAAACAGCTTCTTTTAAAAATAAGATCCAAGTGCCAGGAAAAACATTCACTACTCACGTGAGAAGGTGGAGACCACTGTAATGCCTGCACGGGCCCAGGGACACAAATGTATCCAATTGGCTCATATTTGTCTTCAACGGCAAAGAAGAAGACTGTTTTGTCTTTACTCTGAGAAAGAAAAGAAAGAAGGTAACAAAAAGCATGCACTTCAAGGCTCTCTAACCATTTCACATACTTCAAATAAGGGCCGCATACACCCCTCACCTCAATGCTGTGCATTCCCAATACTTGTCACCCAATACAACTCCCTACTAACTGGATAGATAATCTACTTAGACCCATCACAGATACAGAAAATCAGGTAATTCTAGGCACTAAGTTATCCTCTCACAAGTGCTTTGGGATCTTTTCTTCCTGAGCCTCTCCTGCTTTTGCAGGGGTCTTACCCTGTAGTCCATACAACCCTTGATCTCCATGGTCCATGTGACAGCAGATGCTATTTCCTGCAATGGCTAAGAGGAGATCACAAGAAAAGCCTCCTTGAGGCAGGTATGATTGGATAAATCAATAAATAAGCACAATCATGTCACATTAAAATAGTTTTATATTTTTGGCTTAATAAAAACAATTCAGTGAATAAGTCAGACATACCCCTGTGGCAATTACTTCCCCATTTCGTTCATATGCCAAGGCTGTAACTGCAGCAGTGTGGGGTTTAAAAGCTTGTTTCAGACGCATCTCTGCATTCCCTACATTGGTCCGTCCTGCAACAATGGCGAGTCCCCTGGGATCATAAACTTCAATAATGCGAACAACACCATCTTCAAACCCAACAGCAATTAGACCTCCTTTGGGATTTACCTGTGTGTAATGAAATTAAAAACGCTTGCATCTTCAGGCAAAAGATAAAATTTGTAGACTCCAAGGCCAGGAGAGACCACTGTGAACATACATAACACAGACCATACCTTCCTCAAAATAATTCTTGTTTGAACTAAAGCATATCTTTTAGAAAAACATCCAACCTTGATTTTAGCCACAACAAACCTTGGTAAGTTGTTCCAATGGTTAATTGCTCTCATGGTTAAAAATGTACACCTTATTTCCACTCTGAATTTGTCTAGCTTCAACCTCTAGCCATTGAATCTTGTTATACCTTTGTCTGCTAAATTGAAGAGCCCACTATCAAATATTCCTGTAGCAGTTGCACCAGTGCCAAATACAGAAGTAATATAACCTCTGCACTCCTACTCAATATTCCCATTTATGTATCCAGGGACTGCGTTAGCTCTTGTTATTATATCATCACACTGTGAGCTCAGGTTCAGCTGACTATACACCATGACCCCCACATCTTTTTCAGAATCGCTACTTCTCAGGATAGAGTGCCTCATCCTGTAAGTATGGCATAAATTATTTGTTCCTAGATGTATAACCTTACATTTGGCCATATTAAAACACATTATTCGCTTCAACCAGTTTACCATTAGAACAACATAAGAATGACCATACTGAGTCAGACCAATGATCCATCTAGCCCAGTATACTGTCTTCCAACAGTGGCCAATGTCAGATGCTTCAGAGGTAATAAAGAGAACAGGGCAATTATTGAGGGATCCATCTACCCGCCTGTCCTCCACTCCCAGCTTCTGGCAGTCAGAGGTTTAGGGCCATCCAGAGCATGGAGTTGCATCCCTGACCATGTTGGCTAATAGCCATTGATGGACCTATCCTCCATGGACTTACTCAATTCTTTTTTTAACCTAGTTATGGTTTTGGCCTTCACAACACCCCATGGCAACAAGTTCCACAGGTTGCCTGTTTAGTTCCTTATGTTAGTTTTTAACCTGATGCCTATTAATTTCATTGGGTGATCCTGGGTTCTTGTGTTATGTGAAGAGGTAAATAACACCTCCCTACTCACTTTCTCCACACCATTCATGATTTTATAGACTTCTATCATATCCCCCTCAGTCATCTCCTTTCTAACAAGAATAATACAAATCTTTTTAATCTTTCTTCATATGGAAGCTGTTCCATACCCCTGATAACTTTTGTTGCCCTTCTTGTATCTTTTCCAATTCTTACATATCTTTTTTGAGATGGGGCAACTAAAAGTGGAGGTAGTATTCCAGGTGTGGGTGCCATGGATTTATATAGTGGCATTATGATATTTCCTGTCTTACCTGTTCCTTTCCTAATGGTTCCTAACATTGCTAGCGTTTTTGACAGCCACTCCAGATTGAGCACATGTTTTCAGAGAACTGTCCACAATGACTCCAAGATCTCTTTCTTGAGTGGCAACAGCTAATTTAGACCCCATTATTTTATATGTAAAATTGGGATTATGTTTTCCAAAATGCATTACTTTTCATTTATAAACAATGAATTTCATCTGCCATTTTGTTATGCAATCACTCAGTTTTGTGAGATTCCTTCATAACTCTTTGCAGTCTGCTTTAGACTTAACTATTTTGAATCATTTTGTATTGTCTGCGAATTTTGCCACCTCATTGTTTACCCCTTTTTCCACATCATTTATGAACATGTTAAACAGCATTGGTCCCAGTACACTCCATTCCAAAAACTCGCCATTTATTCCTACCCTTTATTTCCTGAGTTTTAACCATTTAGTGATCCATGAGCGGACCTTTCCTCTTATGACATAACTACTTACTTTGCTTAAGAGCCTTTGGGTACGTACCTTGTTGAAGGCTTTCTGAAAATCCAAGTATACTATATCCACTGGATCACCTTTGTCCACATATTTGTTGACCCCCTCAAAGAATTTTAATAGATTGGTAAGGCATGATTTCCCTTTACAAAAGCTGTGTTGACTCTTCCCCAACATATCATGTTCATCTACATATCTGATATTTCTGTTCTTCTCTATAGCTTCAACCAATTTCCTGGTATGGAAGTTAAGCTTACTGGCCTGTAATTACCAGTATCGCCTTTGGAGATTCTTAAAAATCAGTGTTAGATTATCTATCCTCCAGTCATCTGAACAGAGGTTCACTTAAGCAACAGGTTACATATACCACAGTTAGTAGTTCTGCAATTTCATAATTGAGTTCCTTCAGAACTCTTAGGTGAATACCATCTGGTTCTGATGACTTACTACCATTTAATTTATCAGTTTGTTCCAAAACCTTCTCTACTGACACCTCAACCTGGGACAGCTCTTCAGATCTGCCACCAGAAAGAATGGCTCCAGTGTAGAAATCTCCCTCACATCCTCTGCAGTGAAGACCAATGCAAAGACTTCATTTAGTTTTTCTGCAACAGCCTTGTCTTCTTTGAGAGTTCCTTTAGCACCTTGATCATCCAGTGGCCCCATTGATTACATGGCAGGCTTCCTGCTCTTCCAGCTTCTGACATACTTTAAAAAGAATTGCTGTTATATTTTGTCTTTTGTTAGTTGCTCTTCAAATTCTTTTTTGGCCTGCCTAATTATACTTTTACCCTCGACTTGCCAGAATTTATGCTCCTTTCTATCTTCCTCAGTAGGATTTGACTTCCAATTCTACCAAGCGATCCAGATCACGCTGCATCAGTGACTTGTATTCTTCATTATTTACCACTCCCCTAATCTGTGTGTCATCTGCAAACTTTCTTGGTGATGATTTTGTTTCCTTCCAGGTCATTAATAATAATGTTAAATAGCGTAGGGCAAAAACTAATCACTGTCGGGCCTCACTAGAAACACACCTGCTCAATGATGAGTCCCCAAATATAATTACATTATGAGACCTGTCAGTCCACTGTTAATCCATTTAATGTGTCCCATGTTCATTTTGTATTGTTCTAATTTTTTAATCAAAACATAGTGCAGTGCCACATCAAATACCTTAATGAAGTATATTGTATTGAGACCATTGCCTTTATCAACCAAATACGCATTTTCATTTAAAAAATTAAGTTAGTAGGACAGGGTCAATTTTCCATAAATCTTTGCTGATTGGCATTAATAAAGTATTAGAGGATAATTTAATTTAATCAAGTTCCATATCAGCTACTCCATTACTTTACCTGGGATCAACATCAGGCTGATATTGAGAAACTGTATAACACACAGCTCTAGAGTTAACATATACCCCATCTCATAAATCGTTCTATATGTAGTTTCTATTGTCCACATACATGAAGGAAAGAGTCATATGCAGGGAACATGGTTTAATTTTAAAAGCCTAGTAGTGTTTAGTGATGCTACATACCACCATGGAAAATGAGCTTTGATTTTGATGTCAGGCCAGAGGGACTCACATGCTTGTAACTCACAGGACAGTGGTGTAAGAACGTAAGAACCGCCATATTGGGTCAGACCAAAGGTCCATCTAGCCAAGTATCCTGTCTTCTGACAGTGGCCAATGCCAGGTGCCCCAGAGGGAATGAACAGAACAGGGCAATCATCAAGTGATCCATCGCCTGTCGCCCATTCCCAGCTTCTGGTAAACAGAGGCTAGGGACACTATCTGAACCAACGGCAGCTTCTAATATTCTTTTTAGGGAAGAGATATTTAAATGATCCTAGACAAATAAATGGCTCATAGCATATGATATAAATTGACTTACTTTCATTGACTAGCTACTTGCAGTACTAGGCTCAGTCCTTTTATCCATCTAGCCAAGTATTCTCCCTCAGGCAGTGTTCAGATATCAATACTTCAAAGGAAACTGAATGAAAAAGTTCTAGGATGCACTATGGGCCAGATTTACAAAGGTATTTAAGCACTTAAAGATGCAGAGAGGCATCTAGTGGGATTTACAAAAGCATAAGCAGGTAAGGTGCCTAATTCCCACTGACTTTCAATAAGAGTTAGGTACCTAGCTGCATCTTTAAAAGTATCTGTTTACCCTTGTAAATCTGGCCCTGAGTATAGTGCTGTATATTTGTAGGGCCCAATCAGCTTACTCCATAAGCACACAACTGGTCACCTATAATATAGTCATAAGATTGCATAGCACAAATGCTCTTGAAAGCACAGTCATAAAGCCACCCTACCCTTTAAAAATCAAGGTACAGTATTTCTCTCTCTGATTGCCGGTATAAGTGACTTCTGCAGGCTTACTATAAATGTTTGCTCAAAAACATGTCTACACAAGAGTTTAACTCAAGTTAATTGATTGCCAATTAACTCAAGTTAGCTAATATGTTTTTAAAAGGTAGAATAGACACTCCATATAAGTATATAAATGGTAATTAGGGCCATTTCATGTTCGATAGACTAGAGCTTTGAAATGCAAACCTGTATTGTTAGACAATTAGAGGTAATACTGACTGTATGTGTTTACTTATATCTTGTTAGATGTAAACAGACGGTTCCAGTCTATTACTATACCCACTGATTCTGAGATCTAAAGGGAATATTAACATTTAGATGAAACTTGGGTGTAATAATGTCATTGTCTATATTTCTCTTTGAAGTTTGTAGTAAACTGTCTATGAACTGCTTAATGGATAACTACCTTATGCTGATGAATGCAACTAGTTACTTGTGTATACATAGGAAATAGGTAGTTTTACTACAAAGCAGCTATTCTTCACCCAAGGAATACCCTCTGTCAAGAGGCTATTACAGCCTGCCAGTGATCTATATGAAGAAATCTTGGCTGCTGATCCTTTTATCTCAGATCTGCTTAAGCTTCATCAGGGGAAGTTTGAGTCACAAGACTGAGGTATCCAGTCCCACCTGGATCACCCTGATATTGGACATTGGACTGTAACCTATGGACTAATTCTGAAAGGACTTTTTGCAGCTCTAAAGCTCATCATCTCTTCTGTGAAACTGACCTAAGAACTTTATTCATATCTGTATGTATAAAGATCTTTTAACCAATACATTCTCTTTTCTTTTTAATAAATCTTAGTTTAGTTAAAAAGAATTGTCTGTAAGTGTGTATTTGGGTAAGATCTGAGATATTCATTAACCTGGTGGGTAATGTGTCTGTTCCTTTGGGATTGGTAGAACCTTTTATATGGTGAACAAGATTTTCAGTAATCCTCATCATATTTGACTTGGCTGTCTGGCTGGGAGCTCAAGGCTGGGTTACTTTAAGGGAACTGTATTTCTGGCTTCTGGGTAACCAGTAAGGTATTGTGGAAGTTGTTTTGTTTCTCCCTTGGTGAATCTAAGTATTAGAATAACCACCAATTTTGGGGATTGTCTGCCCCATTCTTTGCAGTTTGCCCTAATTGAGCAATCTCAGCGTGGCCTCTCTGGAGCCCCGGTCACAGGGGCGCTTGCAAGAGGTGACTGCCACCCCATTTCAGCAATTAATAAGCTTGAGTTAAAGAGCAAAAACTCTATTCTAGACATAGACTCAAAGTATTATCTGGGAGTGTCCACATTGCTCACCTTTACAAATCCGTACAACAGGCCATGTAGAATGCCTGGCAAGCCAGGACAAATGGGGAAACACCCATACAATAAATCCAAGCTCTAGTGCTCTGGGATAATCCTCTATAGTGCAAAAAGCTTGCTCATATGCACATATCACAGTGAAGGAAGAAAAAATTTCCCAGACCTTTATCTTACCACTGTGAAATAACCTCACCAATGGTGATTCATAAAGGCCAAAGCTGGCCAATAATTTTATTAAAACCCTGTGTCATGAATATGTGTGATTGCAATGAAATAGCCACATTATGAATCCATGTTAACACACTGCAGTAGGGTAAACTTACCACTCGGGGTGCCCAAGTCAGTGCCGTTCCTCCCTGTTTAAACTTAATCTCAGTCAACTGACAATTGCCAATGAAATCATAGATACGCACTGAGTCTGTGTAAAACAGATGGGAGTGGAAAGGAGACAGGTTATTGCAGACAATTTTTTCTTGAAAAACTACTTGTTAAGATTTATGGACAAATTTCTGATGTATCTTAATGAAAGGTTGAATGGAAAGTTAGTAATCTTTCATTTCACATCAAAACTCACAAGTGCAAGTACCTGGCTGATGGTTATGGTGTACTGTAGCTTTCTGTACTATCACGAAGGAAACACTAGCTTTATTAATTCTGACCTAAACACTGACACCCAAGAGTAATAGGGGCTGAGACTGTTGCGGAAATAATATATTCAGCTCTGAACAAGGAGGAATGAGCCTCATTGGCCAGCTGGGGTCATTCTTGAGTAGTCACAGGAGCAACACTGACATGTACTAAAGGAAGTCCTGTGCTGACAGCATAAGAAAAAATGATATGATGATTCTTGGATTTGCCTTTGAGGAAAGTGATTAAATGGGTTAAAATGGAGAAGAATCCAGATAACAGCCAGTTTCACTTTAGCTGGAATTAATGGGATGTGGAAACCCCTGTTAGTGCATACAGTTCAATAACAACCAGCAACCCTCATAGGTGTCAGTTTGGCTCAATTGGTAGGAATTTTGCCTTCAGGCCACAATGCATGGATTCAAGTAGTACACCATACATAATTAATAGCTGACAAGATCAAGTTTAAGACTCTGTGGCACTTTCTGAAAAGCATGAAGGATAATGTCAATGAACTGGCCAATATTCCTTCCCTCTCTAACAGTTGCTAAAGTGAAGTAATAAAGGCTTGTTCAGGCACACTTTCATAAATTAAATAAATGTCCATAGTCCGAGATAAACTATTAATGAGGACATGATAGCTGTTGCAATTGCCAAGAAAGGCACAAGTATTAATACTCAGAACTGTTTATACAGTGCCATAAATGTATGTGGTGCATTACAAAACACAGAATAAAACACTGTTATTGATCCACTGAGTCTGGAATATGAAAGCTGTTATTTAAACAAAATTCTCCCCTTTTCTGTTGTTCTTTCACAGTGAACAGAGTTTATAAAGCTTCACATTGAGACTTTCTTTAATTGAAAACCTAGTTCTTGAGCTCAGACACTCCTTGCACTTTATGTGGCTTCAACCCATTAATGATCTGTTCTAATTAATAAAAAAAACTGTCCCCAGGAATAATGACCAGCTGGTAGATATCCTTACAAAGTAAAGACACACTTCCACTATAACTGTGAACTAAACACATTAGTTTAAAACAGAATAATTCCACAATGAGCCTGACAGCTGCAACCCTGCCCTTACAAGTTAACCGCTTAGGGAAGAGTTGTACTTACGGTCAAGTGCAGTAGTGGCCATGAGATATGTGACAGGAGAGACACCCATGGCTTCAATCTTTCCCGAGTGAAAGGTAAACAGGCACTCTGGATCATGGGTCTACGGAGAAATCAGAACAGAGTTCTCCTACATTCAGAGACTGAAAACGCCTTGCAATGCCTCATCAACATAAAATGGACATCTAAAATAAACGTGCAAAATCTGCCCTATATCTACTGCATGCAAAAATGTGGTGTTTATACATGCAACAGGATACCCACAAATACAGTTCCCTTTTTGTACCTGCAAATGCTCGTTTTGATTGTACAACGGGTGCATGAGCAAATTTTTACAGGCATATTAAGCACCTGGATTTAAAAATATGGCATCAGATATGTAAAAATAAAGGTGAATAACATATTATATTGGGAGGTACAATGCCTGGAGATCAAATTTATAATAGAAAACTATTGCTCTGAAGGCTGAGAAAATAACCTTAAGCCAAGGGCTTTATATTTCACTGGAAGTCTTTTTCCAACCCAAGGAGAAAAATAGGTTTCCATATACACTGCTGTATTTACTATACACTTTCTACATAGCTTTTTGCCATAATTGTGCTGCAACTTCATTTATCTGCTGCTACGGGATCTGCTTGATGGAATTTTTGATCAAACACTAAGTGTCTGTTTTAACTTTTCTGCTCATGTGACCCTCTCCACCAATAGCAGATCTACAGCAGTAATAGTAGCAATCAGTTTGATCAAATGAACAGAGATGTGAATGTAAAAAGCAACAAAGAGTCCTGTGGCACCTGATAGACTACAGTAGTCTATCAGGTGCCACAGGACTCTTTGTCACTTTTTACAGATCCAGACTAACACGGCTACCCCTCTGAGAGATGTGAATGTTGTCCTCAGTGTCATCTAGATACAATAGTGATGGGCACTTCAGAAATACCTATCCAGACAGGTTGCAGTAGCAGCCCGCACATTAACTTCCCATATTAATGTCCGTCACTTCCCACCCTTTGAGAATCAGGCTCCTTTAAGGTAGCTCCAGTTTAGCAGTCAATAATTGAGGGACCCAAAATCAATAGTTACCTTTGAAAATCTTGGCCAATAGTTGTAATTAATGAAGCAGTGAAGATAAATCATAAAGATGTGCCTGATAATAACACTAAATCCTCAGCTGTACAGTTGGTCAAAAGTTGGATGGCACTGTGTGGCCACACAGTGTAATTAAAGGAACTTAAAAAACAGGGTGGGTAGGAATAAAACTTACGACATTTGAAAAACTCAGATCAAGCTTCCAGATGGCTCCATTGGAATCCTAAAGAAATAAATATTTAACACCTGAATGTTCTTTCAAATTAAGTTTGAAAATAGCATCAATCCTTGTAATTCCTTACAAATACTGTAGGTAAGAATCTCAAAATCATCTGGAAGAAACAGGATTTAGACCTCAGTCTGATGTCAATTTCACCTGGTGCTCAGCAGCAGAACAGGGCAATGAAGCCTGGGAATGATACTTCCAAATTCTCCCACTCCTATGTAGCTCCCGCTCTCAAAGCCAGAAGAGAGACTCAAATGTTATTCTACTCTAAAAATAATCCAGGAGGAGACAGGGTACTAGTTCTACAAGAAAAAACAGATTGCCTCAAAGCAGATTTCCTCTGGCAATGCATCACCACATGCCTCTCCAATATTGCTCCACAGAGCTGATAAGAATGCAAATATGTCTTACCTGAGCATACCAAATGGGCTGTCCAAGATCATGAATTTTCATGATGGAGCTCAAGTTGACATTCTTGCCAACAAGAAGTTCATTCATATGCTCCATCTCTAGTAGACCTGTGTCATCCACAGAATCAGCTGCATCTATCGTCTCAAAGTCCCACACCTTCAAGCAGTTGGAAGTGAACAGAACAGCGTTCATTAATCCAAATGCCAACACATCTCACATTAACACGCACAATGGCAATATAAAATCAAATGATAAGAATCCAAGGGAATGGGTGGCTCAGGATATAGAATAGGGAGCCTGTCATGTCTACATTACTATGACTGCTCCAGGTCATGTTCAAGCCAATCAGAGGCTGTTACCATCTAATATCTGTTCAGTGGCCCATGTAAAATGTGTTTATAGGTCTCTGTCCTCTAGGAATTGGATTATTACCCATATCCCAAAAATCATTAACTACAATTGGCACTACTTAGTACCCATGTTGGCAGTGTCACAACTATGGAGAGTAAAACTGCCTCCTAGAGGTTGTCCCTAGTGAGGCAGTGTGGAATGACAGAGTGAGAAAGCTTGCACCTCCACTGCCTGCTCTGTGGATAAAGAGCAGATTTCGGCTTCCAGATCTGCCAGTTCAGCACCCTTTTGCCACAACGACATTTACATAAAGAATACCATCAATGTAAAAAAAAAAAATCAAACCAAAAACCTCATCTGAAACTTTTTTCCTACAGCTGTAACCACTGCCTATAATTACTACAACTAAAAGATTAGATGGAAAAAGACACACTTTTTTCACTTTGTTTATTTTGAGCATTTAACAGTAATTTGTCTACTGTCAGTTTCCCTCTTTCCCTGAACACTCAGTTTTCCATTGTTTGGGTCTTTTATGCAGCAATAGGGGAGGAAACTAAACCAAAAACAAACAAAAACAAAACAGGAAAATATGATTGTAAAACCCACAAATTAGCAAGTAGAATCAGAAGCAGGTGAAGAACTTGAGACTACTTTTAACTCATTTTTAAAAATTGGTTTGATTTTAAGTTGAGGATGTCCCATTATTTATTTTTCTTTAACAGGGGTTTGTTGCTCAGTTGAAATGGATACATCTTTGAAATAAAATGACAGAGGTACTAGTTACTTACACAAATGCCTTGAGTGTTCACATGATCAGAAATTAATTTCAAACACCACTGTGATTTATCCTTTGAATAGTATGTGACATGTTAACAACGCCTGAAAATGACTAACATAAACCTAAGCTACACACACACAAAACATCCCCAAAGTTGTTAAAGACAAAACTAAAAAATAAAACTTGTTAAAGACATCATTGAAATTGATTCTGATTTATTAGTGCACAGAAGGGATTTCTCTAGCATTAGTAGGTACAAAGTTATTTAAATGTGATCTGATCCAAACATCTACCTTGTGGAAAGAGATCTGCTTCTATCCAGTTCCTCGTCAAAATTCATTCTTAGACAGTGATCATGCAGAGAAACTCCATCAATAGGCTACTCCCAATACAACATGTAGGCTAACAGTTACTTCCCTTTCCCACTATTAACAAGACTCTGTATACCAAATATGCGTCCAGACTACTAGAGGAAAAAATACTCACCCTAATGTAGCCATCTCCTCCAACAGTGACCAGCTCTCCCTCATCCAGAACTAACTGATTAACAGGGCCATTGTGACAGGGTCTATGTCCAGTTCGACAGAGCTCTACTTTGATGAGGCCCCCTTCCCAAAGCAGCAAGTTGCCCCATTCAGATCCAGAGATAACCTTTCATGCAAGTGAAGAGTAATACATGAGTGTTATAACATATCAATGTGCAGATATTGGTGAGAAACTGGTGAATATCTTAGCTCACTATAGCCTTTACTTTAAATTAAGAAAGCTCATTTGTCTAAGAATCACTATAATAATGGATACTTTTAAACTGTTAAAAAATAAGCCAATTTATTGCCAGTTAATGTCAATATTAGATTCACGGCTGTATATTTGATTGTGCATAGAAGGCCTAATCCAAAGCATTCTGAAGTGAATGGGAAGACTCCCATTGACTTCAATGGATCTTTGTTCAGACCCTGAGAAGGAGAAAGAAAACAGTTGTACTCATTTACTCTACTCACCTTCCCATCAGGCAGCTCCACATACCCTACAATGTCAGTCACAGCTGTTTTACCAAACCTGCCCAATGCTCCTTGTAGCTTGAGCCCAGTGAATGTATGGGCCATCTTCCAGAACCTGAGTACAGAAAACATAGTCTTTGGGGTTACACTTGAGATTGTATCTAGAAAGTACTGTATCTCAGGCTCTGATGTCATCATATGATGAATGTGTGGACTACTCAATTAATTATTTTTAAATATAAGGGTTTGTAGTTTTTTAAAATTAGATGAAACTTTATACGTGCTGAATGCGGCTATCCAGGGTTATTTTTTGTTGTTTTTACTGAGTGGGACTGAAATGCCCCAACACACCTGTGTACCCACAAGATGAGTAGGTCACCAAACCCACCCTGATCCCAGTCAGGCGTTTATTGCACACCACGGCCACCCACCTCCCCCCAAAAAAAACAAACTTTCCCTTCACCTACTTCCATGAAAAAACTAGAAAAATATGGGCAGGGGAAAATAGAGAGACTAATATTTAAATAGGTGCTAAATAAATTTATATATCCATCTTGCAATACTTTCCATATTTACTTGAAGAAACCTACTTTTCTCTCTGGTTGTTCTCCAATATAGGATGCTCATCTATTGAAATCCTATGGATAACTTTTCCACTGGATTCCATTCTGTGTAACCCCATGGACTTCAGTGGAGTTGCGTTAATCCAAATGAGCCAGAATTTAGGCCTGTATCCCCAAAGTTACTTCTAACAAAGCATGCAGAAATGTTACACAGATATAGAAGTACAAGAGAGTTTGTCTACAATAGATTCATTATCATCTCCTATTTCAATTAGAGATGGTCCAAGTTCGTGGTATGTGGATCAGGATCCAGATTATACTTAGGCTATGTCTTGAGACCATGCTATAATTGAGAGCAAATCAGGGTTAGTGATCAAGTGTGCATTTTATGGCACTGAACTATTTCAAGCTGTTTTTAATGACGTTTTAGCTCAAAATGGAAAAAAATCTCACCAGACATCTTATTTTGTGAGATTTCAACTATCAGTAAATTCTCATCAGTTTAGACCTTGAAAATAAACCCCTTCTCGGTTTAGATCCAAATTGGAATCAAATTGCAAGTATGTAGGGATTTTTATTTGATTCCTCTGTAAAATTTACAGGTATTTGGATTCATCATTGTTAGTATTATTTATTATTTGTATAGCAGTACCACCCCCGTCATCTACCAGGATCCCATTGTGCTTGGTACTGTACAAATAGGACAAAAAGATGGTCCCTACCCCCAAAAAGCATAATGCTTTGGTCCATTTTTAATTACAATAGGAACCTAAATTTACCTATAAAACAGACTGTATCTTCCTTTTTGGTGCTCTTATGGGCTGTTTTGGCCATGTTTTGTGATTAGTTCTTAAAACTGACCAAACAGCATGTGTCAGCCCATTTCACAAAGCCAAAGAGACACCAACAGGTAAGAAGCCCAGAATGCAGAGAAAAGCCATGTGCTGACCCAACAGCTAGAACAGAGGTTGATAGAAATATTTCTTTTAAATAGTTCTCCCCACTCCCAATGCACTTTTGAAGATCAACAGTGGAGCAGTTTATTGGGCAGTCCATTACACCATTACCAAACAACAAAAAATTCTTAACTGTCAGGGTAGTTAAGCACCAGAACAAATTGCCTAGGGAGGTTGTGGAATCTCCATCACTGGAGGTTTTAAAGAACAGGTTAGAAAAACACAAGTCAGGGATGGTTTAGATAATCTTTAGTCCTGCCTCGGTGCAGAGGACTGGACTAGATGACCTGGCGAGATCCCTTCCAACCTTATGTTTCTATCATTTCTATTATCTCTTTTGGAAAGCAGAGGTTTCAACATCTGTATTGCTAAGCAGAACACTGTTCCCCATTGTTGTGCACCTGTTAACAATCATATTCTTATTAGTCAATCACCTTGTAAGTTTCATGATTTTTTAGTTACTTCTGTGAAAGTAGAATGAATTATATTATAAAAATAGAATGGATTAAAGAAATGCTGTATGTTCCTTTAAGCAGAAATAAGGAATGTTAAAATACAGGTGTCAGGAAAAGGAACATTAAGGCATAAACAACGAGTCCACTTAAGTTAATGTTGGAACATTAGCCGGAGATCTGTAAAAGTTAGTAAGGAAATTGAATATGTATGTCTAGCCTCAGGTAAACTTGTCAGTTCTGCTTTCTTTGTCCTCTTGTTAAGTTTGCGCCCTTTTTATCTATATAAAATAAGGTAGTGTGGGTCTTGCATGGTGCTCACATTATCTGAATGTATTAGCAAAGTGCTGTGCTAATAAACAGAGTGGTCTAACAAATTGTGAGTCCTGAATCTAACTTTGACAATTTGGAGGTTCCACCCAGATGGCAACCGTCTTCACTGGGGCCGTGTGATTCCTGACCATTTTTGTAGGACGACCGTGGCAGCCAGCACCTGGGCATTTGGCCCGAGCGGTCCTCCTCCTGAATGGAAGGGTGCACAACCACAGTGAAGTCTACGCCATCGAACCTGTTGGTTCCCACTCTGTTCTGGTAGGGATCCCGGGATCTGACATCAGGAATCTAGTCAGGTAATTATTTCTGTGTTTTGTCCGGACTGAGGACTGTCCTGTCTCTGTGTCTATCCATCCTCCTGTGGCGTGTTTGAGTCTGGGTGCTGTCTCCGTCCGGGGATCGGCCGACCAAGGGCTCCTGTCCTCGCGGTCTGAGTGAGTGAAATCTGCACAATCGCAGCCGCACCGCACCTTGGGTAAAACCCTTGGTGTGAAAGCAAGGGCGATTGAGGCAGTAGCCTGTGGGCTCCTTTTGTGTGTTGCACCGGGCATCGCTCTGACGAATCCGAATTTCCTTCTTGTGTGATTGTTGTGTGTAAAGTCCTCCTGTATGGGTAACCAGACGTCTAAGTCGGGACAGTTCCCTAAAGAAACGCCGGTTCATTTTATGTATTTTAGGAAGGGTCCAGACTCCTGTAAATTTCTGGAAAAATGGTCTAGGTTAACTCAGGGAGATCCCAAAACTCAGTGGCCACTGTTAGGATTTTGGGACAAAGACCGAGTGGACGTCTTAAAAGACAAACTCAGCCAACCTAAAACTAAATTGGCCAGAGGAGAGGTTGATTGTTTCATGCAGTGGTGAGAAGAGGCAAATCGTAGGTGGACAGAATCGAAACTCGCCTTTCTCAAAGATTCAAATGATAAGTTAAAAGTTTTATTGGAAGCCTCCTCTCCCACCACCAGACTGAGTGCTCCCCTTTACCCCGTTCTCCGAGCAGACTCAAATCGATCCCAACCCCCTTCATACTCCCATCTCATTGTGAAAGAGGACGAAGAAAACCCCTTGTTAAATTCTGGGGACGACGATGACGCATTAATTGGCTTGGTAGCCTTGCGTCGGATCAATAGACGATCACCAGCCTCCCCAGTTCAGGGACAATTCTCAGAGGTCACCAGTTCAGACCAGTTCGGACCGTCCAATGCCACCCAGGCCCATTCCTCCGGCACCGCTCAGGCCTGTCAAGAACCCTCCAGTCTGCCTGACTCCTCTGCTTTTTCTTATACATGCAAAGATAGCCTGAATAAGGATTGGGCCTGTTGCTTGCGCTCTAGCTCTAAAACTGTCCAGGCTCCCCTCCGAATCCTGCATACTGGGGGCCAAGAATGGGGTCCCACTTGGAGCTATAAACCTTGGACTCGCTCAAAGCTCCTTTCAATTGTAAAAGGCTTTCCAAAGCCCCTGGAAAATCCTACCAAATTCGCAGAGGAATTTTTGTTAGTATGCGACACCTATAAACCCTCTGAGGCAGACATCCTGCAGCTGTGTAAGCTACTTGTAACCCCTAGCAAACATGAAAAATGGCTCACAGCAGCAAATTGGCCAGTCAGTGAGCGCCACTCTAATTTGCCAGACACGGTCCTGACGCTAAATACTGGAAAAAGTGTAAGGACCGAGCTAAAAATCTACTTGAAGCCATCCCTCAAGTATGGACTCCTAAAACCAACTGGACGGCCATACACTGCTGTAAACAGCGACAGGGAAAAAACCCGGGCGACTGTCACACCCGGCTGACTGGTGTTTTTCTGCAACTTTCTGGTACAGAGCAACCGGATAAAAATTAACAGGGTGCCCTGGCTCATGCGTTTGTTAATGGCCTCCTACCTGCTATTGGCAGTATGCTAAAGCGAATAAGTGTTGGGTGGAAGACCGAAACCATGGACAAATTGCAAACAGTGGCAGAGCACTGCCAATGCACTCTGAAAGAAAAGAAGGAACAGTCCTCTCAAAAATTAATGGCCCTGCAAATAAAACATTATTCAGGGCAGGGCAAACAGTACCGGGGACGGGGAAGGTTCCAGAGAAGGGGACATGGTCGCGGGAGGGGTCGTGGAACTGGATTTTCGGGTTTTGGGGATGTTTGTAATTACTGTAAGCAGCCTGGACATTGGAAGAATGAGTGTCCAAACCGGCATAATAGCTCTGTAAATAACCAGTTAGACCCCCTGTCGGCACAGCCCGACAATCCCCAGCCTTACTTTGTCCCACAACAATAACGGGACGCCGGGGAACCTCAGGAAATTTTAGCTCCTTTACTACCTCTCACTCCCACGGGTAAGTGTGTTTTGACTATTAATAATCTTTCTCTCCCTTTCCTTGTTAATACGGGAGCTTCGCTTTCTGCAGTTCTTACTACCGATCTGCCTGCGGTTCCCCGCTCCGGAAAAACTGTGTCCGCTGTGGGTATTACAGGAGTCCCAACCCCTTATCCCCTTTCAAAACCTCTACCGGTCCAGGTTGGTCCCCTTTCCGCGGATCATACATTCCTTCTCTCTGATTCCACTCCGGTAAACCTTTTGGGTCGGGATCTGTTATGTAAACTTGGCTGTACCATCTATTGTTCCCCGGATGGTGTCTACTTACAAATCCCCCAGTCCTCTCTGAGTGATTCTGTGGCCTCCCTGCTGTCTGAAACTCCCCTTTCCACTCCAGTTCCCTGTTACCCATTCATCCCATCCCTTGAACACCTAATTTCGCAGGTCCCATCCTCTCTCTGGCCAAACCACCCATCTGAAGTGGGCCGCTTAAATACTG